GTTCAAATTATTTTATATGACTCTCTATTGCTTTATAAGAATGTCTGATGAACTAGAGGCCAGGAACTGTTTGCAATGTCATACGATGTCATCACCTGAATAAAGAACTCATAATTCAAGCCACTCAATCTTCATTTGTATTGGTCTATATGTTTAGGATAATGTACGAGTGAGAGTAATTTTCAAATATTGGCAGGCCGGAGTCAAGTTGCCGACAATATTGTACACCCGACTAAATATGGCGGTAAGAGCTTACTGTAATCAGAAACTAAAATGAAACTTTCAAAAGTAATATATTTATTTCCCGAATGGCAATTTACAGATTTATCTGCGCTAGGTAATGGTGTCATAAATTTGACCAGAGGTCAAATCGGCCACGTGACCACGTTTGGGAATTTCCTCCCAGGGTGCATTGCAATCTGCCATATCAGGACAGTCAGCGAAACACGGAGGTAATTCTCCATGTATATATATAAAAGCATCTGGGATGGAAGGTGTACATTTTATGAATTTTCTGCAGATGACTTCACTCACAGGTAAATGATAACGTATATCATATTCTAACTTCAGTGGAATACATAATAATATACACAATTTTCGTGTACACAATGAATTTCGTGATCCCGATTTATTATAATGAAATGGTTTCGAATCGCACTGTCCTCTACTCAATAACGTTTACTCACACTGTATTGGGATCGTCATATGAACATGATCGGTCACTGGTGCTTTTCGACACTCATCATGTGTGAAACAATGAATGCAGTGCATCTTCGATATATTATGGCTGATGATATCATTACATCACCAACAAGTGAAGATGATGCTGGAGATAATGCAGCGTTTGGTAATGGAAAATTAAAGACTGTCGTAATACTAAGACGTCAAATCACAATCGTCGTGTTCATGCCAGTGAAAGGGGTCAATTAAAGGTAAACATATACTCTATGGCAGAACATGGTAGTGTGTAATAAGTTCATGAGGTCATGGGCCACAATCCATATTAGAGACCCTATTGGGCAACAATGACTTTTTCACTCTGTATATATCCCATATATTCAGTTTAAAATATCATGCGTTAAGTCACGTGGTATACGATGATTTTTTTTTATTCGCAAATGATCTAATAATTATAAGAAATCTATATCATCATCTGATGTCATTGGTGAATTGATTTAGATAAAATAATGTGAGAGGTCTCACTAGGGTATACTAATTAGGCGTAATTTGCCGAGGGACATTTGAAAAAATGAAAATCTTTCTCATGTATGATATTTTTCAATGTATGTAATTTTACAAAGTATTTATAAAGACGTCAAATCATGTGTTCGTGAAGGAGGAGTCACTTCGAGATTCTTTGAATTGAAGAATGGGGTTCGACAAGGGTGCATGATCAGCCCTATTTTATTCTCATTTTACATTAATGAGCTACAAAGCATGTTGGATGACTCTGGGTATAGAGGAATACAATTGATCCCGAACGACATGTTAGAGTTGTTTTCATTATTGTATGCTGACGACATTGCTTTATTTTCAAATTCTGTTTTGGGCTTGAAAAGACTAATTAGTATATTGTATGAGTTTACAAACAAGTGGGATCTAAATATCAACTTAAATAAAACTAAAATTGTAGTATACAGAAATGGGGGATATCTCAGTAAATATGAAA